GGGAGAGGGAGAAGCAGGCTTCCCATGGAGCAGGGAGCCTGATGTGGGGCTCGATCCCAGGACCCTGGGATCATGACCTGAGCCGAAGGCAGATGCTTAGTGACTGAGCCACCCAGGGGCCCCTCTTTCTGTTGTTCAGATTGGGTAATTTCTATTGCTCTTTCAGTTCATAGATACTCTCTTTTTTTTTTTTTTTTGTCCTCTCCATTCTGCTGTTGAGCCTATCCACTGAGCTTTTTATTTTGGTACTGCATTTCTCAGTTCTAAAATTTCCATTTGGTTCTTCTTTATATCTTCTATTCCTTTGCTGATGCTTTCTATTTTTTTTCATTTGTTTTAAGCACATTCGTAATTGTTTGTTGAAGTATTTTCATCATAGGTACTCCAAACACTTTTACAGTTAATTCTGATGTCTCTATATTGTTGGCATCTATTTTTTGTCTTTTTTCATTTAGCTTGGGATCTTTCTAGTTCGTGGTTTGATGAATAACTGTCTACTGAAACTGGATATTTTCATATTATGAGATCCTGGATTTTATATATATATATATATATCTGTGTTTAGCTGGCTTTTTCTGACACGACTCTGGTGCAGGAAAGGGGGTACTGCCTGCTCAGTGCTGAGTGGAGCTAGAAGACCAAGTTCCCCACTCAACCTCTGTTGACACCTGAGAGGGGTGGGTGTTCTTCTCCACTGATGGGCGGGGTTGGGAGTTCCAGTTGCCTACATGGTCTCTACTGACACCTCTATGGAAGTGGCCTCATTACCACTGGACAATAGTTGAAGTCCTGACTCTGCCCTAAGCCTCCTCGGACACCACCACAATGGGGAGGGAGAGAGACGCCTCATTACTACTGGATGGGGGTGAAGTCTAAGCTTCCTACATGATCCCCACTAACACTTTGGGGTGAGGGTTGGGGGGCTCTTACTGACCAGTGGTGTTGAAATTATGGTTCCTGGCTTGTCTTTCTCTGACACAAGCCTAGCCAGGGTATTGGGGCCCCTTCATATAGACCTGTAAGGGTAGAAATCGATGCTTCCCACTCAGTCTGTACTGGTTTGGTAAGCGTGAGGTCGTAGGTTTTTCTGTGGTGTTTGGCTGGAGCAGAGTGGCTATTGTCTAAATATTTGCCATCTTGCTAGGCTTTTGTCAGGGTTTTTTGATCTGCAACATTGGCATTTCTAGATTGCTGGCTTCTTCAGGTCTCAAGTCTGAGATATGTGAAGAAAAATAAAACCAAAGAACTTGACACTGGTCATCTTATGTTTGTTTTATATATAATGTTCAGGGTTTTTAGATATATATACTTCATGGGAGGAATCTATTCCATCTTTCTGGAAGCAGAAATCTCTATATTTTCTTTCACTAAGTGTTTAAGCCTTTTGCCCATTTATAATTGGGTGCTGGGTCTTTTTGTTATTGATTTATAAGAGCCATTTATATATTCTTGATATGAATCTTTTGTCAGGTATGTACTTTGCAAACATATTCTCCTAGTCTGTTGTTTGCTTTTTCATTTCTTTTTTTGAAAAAGATTTTATTTATTTATTTGACAGAGAGAGAGAGCATAAGCAGGGGGATTGGCAGGCAGAGGCAGAGGGAGAAGCAGGCTCCCCACTGTGTAGGGAGCCTGACATGGGGCTGGATCCCAGGACCCTGAGGTCATGACCTGAGCTGAAGGCAGACGCTTAACCGACTGAGCCACACAGGCACTCTGCTTTTTCATTTCTGAAACTGTGAGTTTAATGAACAGAAGTTTTAAATTTTGATGAAGTACAATTCTAGATATCTTTTGAAATAACCTCCCTGAATGCTAAATGAGCCAAGGTCAATTTCTGTTGCTTCCAACCAAGAATGCTGGTTGATACAAGCCTACAAAGAATCACCTTGATACTTATACATACAATGATATTAATGCTCAAAACATTTTCAGAATCCATTTTTGGAATTGTCTTCACAAAAAGTTTATGACCATAGCAGAAACCAGGCTCATTATTTTAGAGTTTTAACTAATTTTCCACCTCAAACACATCTTAGAACTTAATCACCTGTCAGAACTGGCTCTATAAACTTTAGGTAATTGCAAAAATAAATTTCACTCTCAAGGTATGATAAATCACCACAACAAGTATTATTTAAATGAATGTACTCTAAATTCCGATAGTTTGCATTTAGCTAGCTTTCCTACATACCCACCAGTAAATTGATTTAACATGTTTAGTGACAGATGCTCTCCATTGTTAACACCTATTCCATTTGAATTCTCGGTTGATTAGTCTTTCCATGCAGGGATACTCTGGGGCCCTGAGGATTTGAGAGAAGGGAATCTTTTTTAGCCCGATGCTGAAAGAGCCACAGTCCTTCTAGCCCAGAAGGAATGGTGGTGAGGAATCAAGGTAGTGAGGAAAGGCTAGGAAAATGAGACAGCCTCTCAGCTCTTCCAGAATGAAAGAAATGAAAACGCATCTGGTACATTTATATTCAAATATATAAACACCTGGTCTGATAAATAATTTGGCGATAGTTGTGATTTGGATTGACAATAGTTCTGCCTCCTGCTTTTATGGGTGTCTGAAGAGTCTTGAAAGCCCATTTATCTTTTTCATTTATTTTATGCTGAAGGAAGTTGTGACATTGATAGAGCTGCTCATCAGCTCAGAGGTGATTTCTCTGGGGAGTGGGTGTTAGATGTTGCCCATGGAAGATAACAGGGTGACATTCAATCCAAACGGGAAGGAACTAACAGGTGGTCATTAAGACCTAAGACAGAAGTCCTGGAGATACTGCACCAAGGAGAATGGCAGAACTTGACACCAACATCTATGATCTTAATACTTTTTCATTATAATTTAACTTTTTCATTATAATTTATAGGTATTAGTAATTCATATGGCAGGGCCTCTAGAATTACATAGTGTTATGAAAAGAACCAAATATACAGTTGACCAATAATGATGAGTCACATTTACTCCTTAGGCATATAGAGTCCAAGTTTTGTTACTTTTTTTTTTTTTTAAAGAGTAGACTCAGAGCTACTTATATATATTTAAGATGCTCTAGAACCCCTTGGTCATTATTTATTCACTGTAATACAGATATGCCATGTAACTTAAGGGTAGTTGTTGGAGTAAATGCTTATAAAATAGGTTTTGGAGGATATAACTGATAAGTTTTTATAATAAGTTTTTTTTATTTTATTATTTTTTAAGATTTTATTTATTTATTTGAGAGAGAGAGAATGAGAGAGAGCACATGAGATGGGTTAGGGTCAGAGGGAGAAGCAGACTCCCTGCTGAGCAGGGAGCCTGATGCGGGACTCGATCCAGGGACTCCAGGATCATGACCTGAGCCGAAGGCAGTCACTTAACCAACTGAGCCACCCAGGCGCCCATAATTTTTTTTTTAACAAGAAGAAATAACACTTAGATTAAAAGCAAACTGTAAAAAAAAGATGCTTAACACAAATTAAAAAAATTAAGTGCTTAATATATTCCTGAGTTTTCCTTTAAATTAGAAATAGAAATTTCTATCTCAGTTTTTAATACTTCAAATCCCTTTGTATACTGACAAAATTACACAGGAGTCTCTTGTAGATCTTGGCATTGGGATCACTGACCTTTCTGAGAACATTCCCTGTGTTTCATAACTTGTGGCATTTTGTGGGCTCCAGAAGTAATGCTTGTTTCTACCCAAAACTCACCAACCCTTGAATATGGGACTCAGGTTCATCTGAAAATCAAAACAAAAAAACATTTCTGCAGATATTGCTGATAGCTATTTCCATGGAATAATACTAAACAAAATATTCTTCAGTTCCTTTGTACTTATAAAGGTAATGCTTCTGCATGGTAGAAGTGAAATAATTCCATGTTGATCTTATCAACAATTCATGGAGATTTTCCTGGTTTAGTCACACTATATATTTGATAACATGTAATACATTATCTGTCATATGTACAAAACATATTATGAGCATTTGTGTTAAAAAAAAACAATAGCCCAATAACAAATGACATTTTATTATTCAAATGATAATGTCAACACCAATGCTAATAAAAATCGATAATAGGCTGAATTCATCAATAGCGAAGTCAGTTGTATTTCACTTGAAGATTCCCAAATTTCAAAGTAAGCCTTTCATAGATAGATGAAAATCCTCTATTATGTAGAATTTTAATCTTTACCTATTAAAGGCTGGGCAAGGCAGAGCCATCCCTATTAGCAGAGCAAGAAAAGCAGAGATGGAACACATGGGTCTCCATACACATGGAGCTATGAGTACCTTTCTATTCTTGCAATTTAAGGTGAAGAAAATTCTTTCATTCTACTAAGGTTTTTAAATGTTGAGATTGTGGGTTCTTTTCATGTTGAATTTTAAGGGATGCTGCTTTGCTCTATTTTTGGGCTATTAGAAGCAATAAAGTTTAAGCTCAATGAAATCAGTACGGGGTTGGTAACATGGTGACCCTTTCTTTAAAAGCAAAGACATACAAAAAGGATGTTTTTGAAGAATATTTTAACAAACAGGAGTTGGCTTTGTATATACATGTCATCGTTAAAAAGACAAAATTTGAATTGTTATATTCAGGAAATAGGTATTTCATTAATTTGCCCTTTACATGTATATGAAAGAGGGGGATTTAGAGGGAGATAGAGATTGCTTTTTACCTTAACTAAGATTCTGACTTCCTGAGAACTTCCTAATTAGGCAAAATATTGGTTGATATATTTAGTCTTCTCATCAGGAACTGAAAGAAAAGTACATCCTGTACATTCATGAGAAACTGAAGTAGATTATTGGTTAATAACCTAATGAAACATCTGTTTAAGCAGATGTTTTAGTTGAGAGAAGTGTAAACATGATTCTAAATTTACAAATATGTTGGTTATTCTTCCTTGTCTGGGAGGTTGAGCCCAAGTTTATGCAGATTAGAGGAAAGCCAGAGTCTGGAAAAATTCAAAATATTACGTAAATGCAGATAAAGTAATACAATAAAATCAGTTGGCAATTATTTTAATAATTATTTACAGGGCCTTCTGTTGCTTGACTTCATTGCTCACATACAAGTGACTTGAGTCACTCCGTCTTCCTGGTCAAACTGTCCGTCGTCTAATTCCCGTAGGACACTGTCACTGCTGCTGAACCCAGAGAAGCTGCTGTACTGCGGTGGCCTCCTGTCCTTCGTCCAACATTCTCTCGAAGGAGAGAGGAGGCGCTCCTCAGCCAGGTTTCTGCTCTCTGCTGGTGGTGATGTGGCCGTGTCCAGTCCAATGCTCCTGCTGGTGACTTTGTTCCTGTCCTCAGCTTTTATATGCCGGCTAGCTTTCCTCTGAAACAAAAGAGATTGGCAACCAGGAGTTAAAAAGATGGGTGCTTTCCTGTCCTTCTGATCTAGCACAGACTGTACTCAGCCCGAAATGTCCTTTCCCTGCTTCTCTTCAAAATCCTAAAAGCCTTCAAGGACCAGCTCAGAGCCACTCTTCACATTCCCTTCTTCCCCCACCCCCCACCCCCGCCCCTCCCGGTAAGAATGAGCTCCTCTCTGTTTCACAACTCTTAGTAGCTTCTTGGCACATCCTTTTCCTCATTGACAGGTTGGTTGTATACATGTCTGGGCCCTCAATGATATCTCTGGGGAGAGAAACCTGTTGAGATCATGCTTTGGGGAACAAAGTAGAGTAGAAATACATTAAAGGTTCCATTTTTCTTCTTGGTGTTAGGTGGGATCCATACAGCAGAAAACGTGCTTCACTGGCCACCTCACACCCATTTCACGTAGAAATAGACTGCACAGAGGAGTCACAATTCTGACTGCGTTTATATTGAGGGAATGGCTGGAGGGTCCTCCTGGGTCAGGCAGGCCACTCTCCTTGTCCTGCTACAAACCGCTTCTGCCTGACCCAGGGGGAATGCTCAGCAACTGGAGCAGCTCGTTCTGCAGACTGTTTCATAAACTGTGGGTGTTTTTGCTGTGAAATATTTACTGAGGGCTGACAATGTCCTTGGTGCAGCTCAGAGTGAAGAGGACATGGTCTTTGCCAAGGTAACAAGTCAAAATAAGGCATATAAGTCAATGCAAGGAAATCTCAGGGAGAAAATTGTAGCAACTCAACAGGTGGATGTTCGGATTCCTGATGAGATTTCCCTACAAGGGCATCTTTAATACTGATAATGTGACATATTAGAATATGCTCACATACTCTTAGGTACAAAAATCTGAACAAGGATAAACAAAGATAAAGATAAAATTTAAAAAGATAAAAAAGCACAGTAATTTCCCAATTTACAGAGAGTTTATTTCTTGGAAGTTCACTTATATTGGTAGTTAGGAACTAGGATTATATTTTCCTAAATGCAAGAGCTACAATTATAAAACTTAGAAAAAAAAAAGTGTAGAAGTCAGATGCCCAGGCTGGTCTGATAAAAGTTTGTTAACCCATAGGTTTGTTGAACTGTAGTGTATAAAATACAAAAGTATTTTCTACTGGTTTTCATGGCAAATATACAAAGCATACAAAAACTTTATTAAATTAGATTTAATATGCTACCATGGAATCTAACCACCGTTTATGACGTTGCTTGTATAGGAAGAAGCAGCCCTCAGCATGCTGCATAGAAAGGCATGTGTTGGCAGTTCTTTCTTTTTCGCTGAGTTACTGGAGTCCTTGGGGAAGTTTAAGCGAACAAGTGGGTCCTGCCTCAATAAGAGCCTTCGTGGTCCCAAATCAGACATAGCTATGGTGGTGACAATTCCATTGGCCCCTTTGTATTCACCGGATGCAAATATCAGATCTCAAATCCGTTTCTTTTCTTTTTTTTTTTTAAAGATTTTATTTATTCACTTGAGACACAGAGATAGAGAGAGAGAGAGCATAAGCAGGGAGAGAGGCAGAGGGAGAGGGAGAAGTAGGCTTCCCGCTGAGCTGGGAGCTAGCCATGGGACTTGATCCCAGGACCTGGAGATCATGACCTGAGCCGAAGGCAGACGCTCAACCATCTGAGCCACCCAGGTGCCCCTCAAATCCTTTTCTTTTTGATTCTCATTCACCAGAAGTATTGAATTTAATACAAGCAGTGGAACCTGACAGCTTTATTCTTTGGGTGCTGGATTTGAGAATGGCATATTCTCCCTGGCACTGGGACCCTGGTCAGTGAGGATATGGCCCTGTGGCTGCAGGAAGGGCTGGTGAGTACTGCCAGGCTGGGCTCCTTTCTTAAGCCTGACTGCTGGCTCCCTTTCCCACATGCATAAAGAATGCATTTACTCTTGGATGACCTCTCAATGTTGACTTAGAGAAATAGGAAGGCAGGGATGCCTGGGAGCACTTGGGTGCCTGGATCTTTCCTTCCTCATCAGCAACAGGGTCAAATGTAAATATTGTAATAAATTCCTTATTGTATGCCAGCCAATAGAGAGAGGCCAACTCTCATATACTCAATGAGAATTTTCTTAATAAAATATGGGTGTTAGAATGATATGATATTCATAGTAATTTACTTTTAGATAAGTTTTAATAAGTGAGCAGCCACCAAATGTAAATTTCAAATATTAGAAGATGACAGAATACCTAGCATGGTAGGTAAGTCTAAAAAAGATTTCAGAACAAACACTTTTATTTTCTTTTTTACCATATGACTCTTAATACATCTTCAGCAATGCTATTGCCTCCCCCACTCTACTCCACTTTAATTAATAGCTTTTCCAACAGTTCAAATTGCAATATTCTCATAACTTAGAATGTAGGAGTCTGAAGCCCGACCAGTCCTGAGAGATCATCTACTATAAACCCTCATCCGACAGAGGTAGGACCCAGGCCCAGAAGGAAGACAGGATTTGTCCAAGGTCAGGGAACAGCTGGTCTCAAACTGGATCCCAAGTATCTTATCTCATTCTTTGCACACTATATTACCCACAGCTGCAAAAATATGAGTAGACTTAAGATCAAAGATTTGTGTGTTTCCCAAATACAATTTTCCTTCAGTTACAAAAATAATACATGTTCAGTGTAGAAAATCTGGCAAAGATAAAAAGCAAAACCCACCCACAATCCTATCTTGTAGAGATACCGCTGTTAAAATCTTAAGCAAGCTCCACGCCCAGCACTGAGCCCAGTGCGGAACTCAATCTCAGAACCCTGAAATCATGACCTGAGCCGAAATCAGGAGTTGGATGCTTAACTGACTGAGCCAGCCACCCAGGCACCCTAAGAAGCTCTTTAAAAAAAAATTTTTTTTAAAGATTTTATTTATTTATTTGACAGAGAGAGAGATAGCGAGAGCAGGAACACAAGCAGGGGGGAGTGGGAAAGGGAGAAGCAGGCCCTCCGTGGAGTGGGGAGCCTGATGCAGGGCTTGATTCCAGGACCCTGGGATCATGACCTGAGCCGAAGGCAGATGCTTAACGACTGAGCCACCCAGGCGCCCCCCTACGAAGCTCTTTTTGATGAGGTGGCCACACCCCCCCCTTATTAGAAGCCCTCTGCACATATGCACATAGAAGCTGAAGCAAACAGATGAAAGAGAACATCCTGGAAACTCCGGTGTCAGTACCTGAGGGTTCTTGTAGCTCTTTTTTTATGTTAAAAGCTATGCCAGTATCCTTCCCACCTAGAAGCCAATAAATTCCCTTACATACATAGGCTGTCTGAGCAGGGTTTCTGTCCCTTACACTTCCAGGGAGGGACATCAGTAGGTAATAACATGGGTGGCCTAGAAGAGAGCTGATCGCCAGCCTGAACCTTGCCCTGCGGCAGCAGGGACCACTCTTCCCCTTCTGCTCACACCAGGAAAAAGCCCATTTGCTTTGAGTGGAAAGCATTCTCTAGATGAAGAACCTCATTAAATATAAAAGCAAAATGCTTTTATCTTGATTTTTACTTAATGCTCTTTGAGATACTCGACATCCTCTGCTTACACTAGCACCTGATTGGATTTCACATGGACTTCAGTCGAGGATACTAACAGTTAATGAGTAAAGAATGACCCTTATGATTTTCAAATAATTTCAAATCAACTTCAAATGACTGAAAAAGTAAGAACAAAGTTTAATAATTGTCTCACTGTAAGGTAAAGAAAGAAGTTAATGTGTACATTAAATATTTCTTAGTGTTCGTATGATTTTATTATAGCTACTTTGGAAAAGATCTAATTTAGAATATTTTTCTGGCTGCTGCCTCTTCACTTCTTGGTTTGTGTTAGAGAAATGATTCAACAGATGTGCCCAAGAAGCCTTTACCTCCTGAAATCATTCATTTTGAGATACATTTTAAGGACAAGAATATTATTTGAATGTAAAACTGCTCTAAAGAAGAAAAATAAATTAAAATTGGAACCATTAACATTAAACTCCTGCCTCCCTATTCTCTCCATCTTTCTTTCAGTAACAGAACTCCTCTCTGCCAATGCCTTGCAACTTTTAGCTGGCCATGTGCACCAGCACGTGGTTGCCCAGGTGGCATATCCCAGCCTCCCTTGCAGACACTTGTGGTGGCATAAATAAGTTCAAGTCAATGGGATAAGAGAAGAAATATGTGACTTAGGGGTCAGTGCCTTCGGAGCATGCCTGGAATTCCTCTTTCCTGCCTCTTGCTGGCTGGACATGGCAACAACTGTGACAACAGTCCTGGGTCCAGAGGCAGAAGCCAAAGGTTGAGGGCAGCAGAGCTAACCAGTCATGAAGCAGAGCCTTGCCCCACCCTAGAGGGCCCTGCCCATCTGTAGACTATTACGAGAGAGAGACCCGTCTGTTGTTTTTAAACCATTCCTTATGGGCCTTTTTGGTATAGCATTTTAGTAATTAATTAGTTACTAATTAATAACTAATAAAAAGTTGTTGATGACTAATGCTTTTTAGCTTAATTTTCCCCAACTTTCTTTCTTTTTTTTTTTTTAAAGATTTTATTTATTTATTTGAGAGAGAGAGAGAGAATGAGAGAGAGAGAGCATGAGGAGGGGAGGGTCAGAGGGAGAAGCAGACTCCCCGCCGAGCAGGGAGCCCGATGCGGGACTCGATCCCAGGACTCCAGGATCATGACCTGAGCCACAGGCAGTCACTTAACCAACTGAGCCACCCAGGCGACCTCCCCAACTTTCTAATTATGAAAAATTTCAAGTAGACAGAAAGTTTAAAGGATAGTACAACAAACACCATATACTCATTACCTAATTCTAAACTTGTTAATATTTTGCCATATTTCATATATATATGTATGTGTATATATATACATACATATATGTTTTTTGGATAATCAAAAACTAATATACTACATTCCTGCATACTAGCTGAAGGTAATTTTTAGCTGGAGAAAATGGAGGGTCATTAGGAATTTCTAGATTCTTCTTCAATTTCTCCATAGAGTTATTGTAGTGTTTAATCATCTAGTATTGAAAGAAAAATGTTCCTATTGAAAACAAAAGCAACATTTCATATGACCAGGCATTGTGCTAAGCCCTCTACATGTATTCTAACTGAATCCTCCTCACAACCCTGTGGTAAGTACTTACATTGTCCACATTTTATAGATGAGGGTACGGAGGCTTGGAGAGTGTGGCAGACACTGGATGCACGTGCGTGTGGGGGTCCGTGCACACGTGAGCACTTGTGTGCACGTGCACACACATGCACCCCATCCCCTGGAATCCTTTTCATGTTCTGTTTTCTACTCCTAGAAACACCACTGAATGGAAACTCTACTCTGAGTTAGTTGAAACTAAATACCTTTTTTAAAAAGATTTTATTTACTTATTTTGACAGAGAGAGAGAGACACAGCGAGAGAGGGAACACAAGCATTGCTGCCTGTGTTCTCCTCCGGGATTTTGATGGATTCCTATCTCACATTTAAGTCTTTCATCCATTTTGAGTCTTTGTGTGTAGTGTAAGGAAATGGTCCAGTTTCATTCTTCTGCATGTGGCTGTCCAATTTTCCCAACACCATTTGTTGAAGAGATTGTCTTTTTTCCATTGGATATTTTTTCTTGCTTTGTGGAAGATTAGTTGACCATGGAGTTGAGGGTCCATTTCTGGCTTCTCTGTTCTGTTCCATTAATCTGTGTGTCTGTTTTTGTGCCAGTACCATACTGTCTTGATGATGACAGCTTTGTAATAGAGGTTGAAGTCTAGAATTGTGATGCTACCAGTTTTGGTTTTCTTTTTCAACATTCCTTTTGCTATTCAGGGTCTTTTCTGGTTCCATACAAATTTTAGGATTGTTGTTCCAGTTCTGTGGAAAATGTTGATGGTATTTTGATAGGCATTGCTTTGAATGTATAGATTGCTCTAAGTAGCATAGACATTTCAACAATAATTTCTCTTCCAATCTGTTAGCATGGAATGTTTTTCCAGTTCTTTGTGTCTTCCTCAATTTCTTTCATGAGTGTTCTATAGTTTCCCTTCTTTCTTTCTTTAAAGGTTTAATTTTTTTATTTGTCAGAGAGAGAGAGAGAGCACAAGCAAGGGGAGTGGCAGGCAGGTGGAGAAGCAGGCTCTTCACTGAGCAAAGAGCCCGATGTGGGACTTGATCCCAGGACCTTGGGATCATGACCTGAGTCCAAGGCAGATGCTTAATCGACTGAGTCACCCAGATGTCCCTCTATAGTTTTCTTAATGCATATCCTTTGCCTCTTTGGTTAGGTTTATTCTTAGGTATCTTATGGTTTTGGGTGCAATTGTAAATGGGATCAACTTCTTAATTTCTCTTTCTTCTGTCTCATTGTTAATATATAGAAATGCAATCAATTTTGTGCATTGATTTTATATCCTTCCACTTTGCTGAATTCCTGTATGAGTTCTAGCCATTTTGGGTGGAGTCTTTTGGGTTTTCCACATCTGTGAAGAGAGAGAGTTGACTTCTTCTTTACCAGTTTGGATGCCCTTTATTTCTTTTCATTGTCTGTTTGCTGAGGCCAGGACTTCTAGTTCTATGTTGAACAGCAGTTGTGATAGTGGACATCCCTGTTGCGTTCCGGACCTTAGGGGAAAAGCTCTCATTTTTTCCCCATTGAGAATGATATTCACTGTGGGCTTTTCATAGATGGCTTTTATGATATTGAGGTATGTTCCCTTTATCCCTACACTGTGCAGAGTTTTAATAAAGAAAGGATGTTGTACTTTGTCAGATGCTTTTTTTGCATCTATTGAGAGGATCATATGGTTCTTGTCCTTTCTTTTATTTATGTAGTGTATCACATTGATTGATTTGTGGATGTTGAACCACCCTTGCAGCCCAGGAATAAATCCCACTTGGTCATGATGAATAGTTCTTTTAATGTACTGTTGGATCCTATTGGCAAGTATCTTGGTGAGTATTTTTGCATCCATGTTCATCAGGGATATTGGTCTGTAATTCTTTTTGGTGAGGTCTTTGTCTGGTTTTGGGATCAAAGTCATGCTGGCCTCAAAGAAAGAGTTGGGAAGGGGCGCCTGGGTGGCTCAGTCGTTAGGCGTCTGCCTTCGGCTCAGGTCATGATCCCAGGGTCCTGGGATCGAGCCCCCACATCAGGCTCCCTGCTCAGCGGGAAGCCGGCTTCTCCCTCTCCCACTCCCCCTGCTTGCGTTCCCTCTCTTGCTGTGTCTCTCTCTGTCAAATAAATAAATAAAATCTTTAAAAAAAAAAAAAAAAGAAAGAGTTGGGAAGTTTTCCTTCCTTTTCCATTTTTTGAAACCACTTCAGAAGAATAGGTATTAATTCTTCTTTAAATGTATGGTAGAATTTCCCTGGGAAACCATCTGGCCCTGGGCTGCTGTTTTTTGTTGGGAGATTTTTGATTACTGCTTCAGTTTCCTTGCTGGTTATGGGTCTGTTCAGGTTTCTATGTCTTCCTGTTTCAGTTTTGGTAGTTTATATGTCTCTAGGAATGCATCCATTTCTTCCAGATTGCCTAATTTGTTGGCATATAGTTGCTCATCATATGTTCTTAAATTGTTTGTATTTCTTCGGTGCTGGTTGTGGTCTCTCCTCTTTCATTCATGATTTTATTTATTTGGGTCCTTTCTCTCTCTCTCTCTTTTTTTTTTTTGATAAGTCTGGCCAAGGGTTTATCGATATTGTTAATTCTTTCAAAGAACCAGCTCCCAGTTTCATTGATCTGTTCCACTGTTCTTTTAGTTTCTACCAAGGACAGACTTTAATGAAGGACAAAGACCTAAAAAAATGTAGTCTATGTGATTTATAAAGCAATCTTCTAATTTTTAGATTATTATATACTAAAAGTGTATAGTTCTATGAATTTCCACAGCCATGTATAGTTTTGTGTAACCACAACAGGACACAGAACAGTTCCATTATCTCCCCTAAAACCTCCCGTGAGATCCCGTTATCACTTCCCTTGCCCAACCACTGACCTGTTCTCCACACTGTAGTTTTATCTTTTTGAGACTGTCATATAAATGGAATCTCTGTAATATTTTTATTTCTTTATTATTATTTTTAAATTGCAGTATAAGTAATGTACAGTGCTATATTAGTCTCTGGTGTACAAATAGTGTTTGAACAATTCTATACATTACTTACTACTTATCACAGTAAGTGTATTCTTAATCCCCTTCACCTATTTTATCCATTTCCCCACCCACCTCCCCTCTGCTCCCCTCTGGTAACCACCAGTTTGTTCTCCATATTTAAGAGTCTGGGTTTTTTGTTTGTTTGTTTGTTTGTTTTTTGGTCTTTTTCTTTGTTCATCTGTTTTGTTTCTTAAATTCCACGTATGAGTGAAATCATATGGTATTTGTATTTTCTCTGTCTGACTGATTTCACTTAGCATTATACTTTCTAGCTCCATCCATGTTGTTGCTAACAGCAAGACTTCATTTTTTATGGCTGAGTAATATTCCATTAATGGTGTGTGTGTGTGTGTGTGTGTGTGTGTGTACCACACCTTCTTTATCCATTCATGTGTTGATGGACACTTGGACTGTTTCCATATCTTGGCTATTGTAAATAATGCTGAAATAGACATAGGGGTACATATCTCTTTTCAAATTAGTGTTTTCATATTCTTTGGGTAAATGCCCAGAAGTGCAATTACTGGATCATATGGTAATTCTATTTTTAATTTTTTGAGGAGACTCCATACAGTTTTTCACAGTGGCTGCACCAATTAACATTCCCACCAACAGTGCACAAGGATTTCCTTTTCACCACATCCTTGCCAATACTATTTCTTATCTTTTTTATATTAACCATTGTGATTGGTGTGGGGTGATCTCTCACTGTGGCTTTGATTTGCATTTTTTGATGACGAGTGATGTTGAGCATCTTTTCATGTGTGTGTTGGCCATCTGGATGACTGTTGCAGTATTAGGCACACTCACAAAAAACTTTTCCTCTACCCTCTTGTTTCAGTACCTGAGGCCTGCAAATTAAACTAACAAAAGACAGATTAACAGGAGAAAAGGTTTATTTTGGATGTCCATGGGGGCTTCACAGAGGAAAAGTGAAAACCTAAAGAGGCTGTTAGACCTGGGAGCTTATACATGATTTCAGTAAAGTGACTAGACAAAGGAACAGGGCTTTGGGCTTCTGTGGGCAGCGAATTGTGGAAAGGTACGTATGTGGCAAACCTAATGGAAGATAAGGGTTATTTTAGTAAGGTTTGTTTATGTAGACTCAAGTCAGTGCCGTCTCTAGCAATAAGTCATCTCTGGTGATTAGTAGGAGTCTTCTCCTCCTAGTACAGGAGAGGGGGACAATTTTACAAATGGAAATTTATGTTACCTTTTTTTTAAAAGATTTTATTTTTTAAGTAATCTCTATACCCAACATGAGGCTTGAACTCACAACCCTGAGATCAAGAGTCAGAGTGAGTTCAAGATCAGGAGTCTACCGACTGAGCCAGTTAACCTTTAAAAAGGGAAATTTATGCCCTGCTTTTTATCAGAAAGGGAGAGGATAGAAAGTTACTCCTATGTCTGTGTTTCTTAATTGCCTTCAGCTCAAAATAATCCTTTGCCCACGTGGCACATTTTGGGTAACATATTTTGATCCCCTTCAGAACTGTCTCCTGTCACCTGGTTACTGACATATTTCCTTTGTTGTTATATGTTGGCTTAGAGACTATTTCCATATCCACATTTCCTCATCTGTATTCACCATTTAAAATTACAGTGAGACTTTAAGGATTAAATGCTTCAGAAGAACATTTAGTTAGTAAAGCATCAATTTTACTCACTTCTGGTGTTTGAGCAGCTGAATTCCACATAACTGGTCTCTGAAGGAACACAATTTGCTTTGTAGCCAAATTCCCTTCACTGCAAATTAAAACAATAGTGTTAGTATTGGCAAATTAGTAATTCTTAATTTTACACTTGGCTAGAATATTCCACATGTATCCTTTGTAATATAATCTTCTGAACCAAAAATAATTATGAAATATGATTCTATATGAGTTGTAGCTGGAAAAACAAGAAAAAAAAATGCCTAAAAACTGAATATAGTCATTACCAAAGGAAAATTTGTTTAAAACATGTAATCTCAATGTGCTAATGTAAGTATTTTTATCTTTTTTTGCCCTCTCCTAGTCTTTATCAAAATGCGAATTTCCACAGTTCTGTAACCACTACATATTTGCATTTCTGTGTTCTATCCTTTTCACTAAACACCCTTTCCTTGTTTGTACACTTGTGATCATATTCTTAATAGCTGCAGTCTCTCAAAGAATTAAGATACTAAAATGTATTAAGCCTTTCCTGTATTATTGAAAAATTAGGTTGTTTCCAGTTTTCCACTAAATTTTAAATAACGTTGCTGTAAAATATGGATAGTCTTCCTTATTCTTTTGACTTATTTCCTTGAGATAAAGTCTCAGGAGTAGGATTATTAGGTCAAAAGGGTATGATTTAAGCTTCTTGGTATGCATTGTCAAATTTGCCTCATAAGAAGAAGAGACCAATTTAGGCTGTCACATGTGAAAGATTTTATATACATTTTCAGATGAGGGACTTGAGCCACAGCTAGTTTTATTTTCAGATGCTTCTTTGTAGTCAGCTACTCAGTATTCTCCTTATTTAACTATCATCATGGCAAATTACCCCTTGCCAAAGACTACTTGGGGTTTGTATTTCTGTGAAATGCTTTTCACAGTCTCCAGGGCTTTATGGGGAGGAGTGTCTGTAGCTAATGTTGCTCAGTTACGACTTTTATTATGCAAAAAACCCAAACAAAACCTCACTATTAGCTGCATTTTATGCTGAGCTCTTTTTCTGGAAAACAAATGCAACATTGAAACTCTGGCCCTAGCGGTATATGTTAACCCCGCACCATTTGAAAATCCCAAACTTACTGATACTGTTGAATTTTGAGAAATAGCAAAATTTCCCCCAAAGTGGTAATAAGAGACTGCTTCTTTTTTATTTTTATTTTTAAAAGAATGCTTCTAGTCTAATCTCATTTTAGTTTAACCTTGTCTTTAATTAGAAGAAAAGACTTGGTATGAAGTATAGTTGACCCTTGAACAACAGGGGGGTTAGGGGCATCAACTCCCTCCCCACTGCAGTCAAAAATCCACATATAGGGGGCACCTAACTGGTTTTGTAGGTAGAGCATGTGACTCTTGATCTTGGGGTTGTGAGTTTGAGCCCCAGGTTGGGAGTAGAGGTTACTTAAAAATAAAATCTTAAAAAAAAAAAATCCATATATATTTTGAACTCTCCAAAAACTTAACTACTAATAGCCTGTTGTTGACTGGTAGCCTTGCCAAATATATAAACAGTTAACTAACATATTTTGTATATGTATCATATACTGTATTCTTACAATAAAGTAAGCTAGAGAAAAGAAAATGTTATGAAAAAAATCATAAGGAAGAGAAAATACATTTACAGTTTTATACTATATTTATCAAGATAAATCTGCTTGTAAGTGGACCCGTACAGTTCAAACTCATGTTGTTCAAGGGTTAACTGTATATTGTTACTTTTGGGAACAATCATCAGGAGACATGGGTTGTGATGTAGGCATACAGGGAAGAGACTAGCAGTGTGCAGAATAGGCTGGTCTGTGTTTGGAAGTACAGAATATGCTGGAAAAGGCAGTGGCTTTGGAGCCAAGGAGATCCTGGTTTAAATCCCTACTCTACCATAATAGCTGATGATACCATTTTAGCAAAGTTTTTAAATTCTCTCACTTTCATTTCCTGTCAGGGCCTTGCGAAGGATAATTATGTTGATGTGTATGAAGACCTCCACTGTGCCTGCCCCTAGAAGGTGTACGACAAATGTGATTTCCTTCTACTTTTTCTATTTGTTTAATGAAATGTAGGGTGGAGTTAAGTGGGAGGGAAAAGTCTTAGAATCTAGAATATCTTCTAGAGAGAAAAGTCAAGGGAGAAGGTACCCGAGAATACAGAGGAGGTTTTGGGTAATGTTCAAAGTGTGTGATTCAGGTAGAGAATCCCATGAGGGAACCAGGCCTAGAACTATGCAAAGATGAGGAGGAATCAGGGCAGAATTATTCTTCTTGAATAGAAAGCAGGAGAATGTCAGGGTAGGGATTGTGAGTGACCTGGAGTGAGTTCTTTCCAACCCATTATATGCTGAGGCAAGTCTGAATGCCCAAGGATGTGATGTTTGACCTAGAGCAGGCTTCTCTGGGATGCCTGGGTGGCTCAGTGGGTTAAGTGTCTTTGGCTCAGGTCATGATCCCAGGGTCCTGGGATCGAGACCCACATCAGGCTTCTTGCTCAGCAGGAGCCTGCTTCTCCCTCTCCCTCTGCTGCTCCCCCTGCTTGTGCTATCTCTCTGACAAATAAATAAATAAGTAAGTAAAATCTTAAAAAAAAAAAAAATAGAGCAGGCTTCTTGACCTTTCCTAATGGGGTAAAACAGTCAATGAAGAGATGCCTTCTCAAAGGCTGACTATCTTAGGACAGTCTCCAGAAGCCCAGGTAGGACTGTGGAAGGTCAGCATTTTCCCATCTCTTGGGGAGGTCCTTAGAACAAGTGCCTCAATTTGAAATATGTCTGAGACTGCTATGTCCCTGATTTTCTGAGGGCCATTCTGATTTTTTTTCACATTGTTGTTGTTGTTTTAGTTTATTTATTTAAATAATCTCTATATCCAATGTGGGGCTTGAACTCACAATTCTGAGATCAAGAGTTGCATGCTTTTCCAACTGAGCCAGCCAGGTGCCCCAGGGCCATTCTGATTTAAAATGTGTCCTGCTATTTTCAGAACATCCGTGAGATATGGAACCCTTTTTGGTCTGGAGAATCTAAGCATGGTAGAACTAAGGGGAAGAGGTCTGAAGCCTTACAGAGGGACAACTGTTTGGCAGGGCAAGTGCCTCACGGTCTCCAGTGGCTCCTGAGGTAATTCTATTTACTGAGCTGGGATGGAATGTTTGCCTCACAGCACAGATTTTGAAAGTATTTGACTGATGGTGTCATTATAGGACTGGAGAGTAGTTCAAATGTCCTGGATGCTCAGAGGTCAGGACCTATTCTCCTATTCCCTGCAGCAATTTTCATCCAAAAAGTTAACTGAGTAATTTTGTATTTTCCTGCAAGGAATTTAAGAATCTTCAACTTCTCTTTTAGACTATTATTAATAGGCAATCATGCTTTGATGTAACAGAAATGAAGGCAGCTTTTGAGAAACGCTAGATTTACACATAAGCTCTGAAAGAGCACAACCTGTGTTGGTCAAGAGTGTAAGCTGCAAGGATAAGCTCGTCAAGGGAATAGTCTGCAAAGATACGAAAACATCCATTAGTTCTTCCTTCCTGAGGGCAGCAGATAATCCCTGGGCCCCTGTTAGCACGAGGGCACAGGCAGCACGAGGGATGGGTCAGCCAGGGCAGGCCTGGGGGGGCTAAGTTCCCTGCAGGCAATGGTGGGGAGCAGCATGAAGGGATAAAAGGGCCCAGACTGGGGAAGGGAAAGAGGGTCATTAGTACAGAAGAAGGACCAGGAGAGCATCATGACTCCAGAGGCCAAAGTCCATGTAGGACCTGGGGCACTGATCCAACCTAAAGGAGATAAGGCAAAGGTCAGATCGGTTGAAGTAGAGTGAAAGGATAAAGCCTCAGTCAGCTCTTGGTTCATACCTAGGGTCAGGCAAAAACCAGAGGGCAGGTGTAGACCTAGAAGAAGTAAGAGAGACCACCAGCATTGCTGCTGTCCCTGGGACAAGGGCCTTTTGCTCTCTGTCTTGGTATTACACTCACCTTTTAATGTGGGCAGACACTAGTGTAGGATCTGGGGAGAGTGAGCCAGGGACTGTATTTACAGTATAAGCAGAGGAGTGAGGCCACAGATGGGAGAGAAAATGGGGTTTTGACCAGCTCTACAGCTTCACACTATGAAATGTGCGGACACATCGTTTGTTGGTGACATATTTATTAGAGAGGCAGTTGAGTGTGGGGGAAACAGCACGTATGGCTTTAGAGTCAGACCAACACTGGGTTTGCATCCGAGTGTTGCCACTTACTAGCTATGTGATGCTGAGCTAGTCACCAAGACTTTCTGAGCCTCCTGTTTCTCTTCTGTAAAACAGAGGTGGTGCTAACAATATCAGTGAGGTGGTGGAAGTAAAATTCTTAGCATGGATCCTGAAGCATAGCAGATGGTCAATGAATGTTTCCTTCTCTCTTCCTTACCTTCTTCTATGCCTTTCATATGAAAACAAAAAGAAGACTTTCTATTTGGGTGTTGTTTAAGGGAGCAGGGTTTGCTATGGCATCTACAGACTACCAAGAAAAAGACTGGCTTCCCAACAACAGAAGACCTTATGGACTAAACTAAGAAGGGTAACTTGGATTTGGATGGTGCTTTTGGTGTACTGAGTCCTTTCCTTGTAAATGAGGACAGTTGTTTCTTATGATAGCCCCCCCCTACTTCTAGAAAGATTTTATTTTTAAGTAATCTCTACACCCAACGTGGGGCATGAACCTACAACCTCAAGATCAAGAGTCACACACTCCACTGACTGAGCCAACCAGGCACCCCTCTTATGATAGCTCTTTAAGGTGGGCACAAAGGTACTATTTTCCCCATTTTGTGGATAAGGGAATTGAGACCCAGAGTTTTTAAGAGTTTTGTCTTGAGGCTCCTCTATTTCCCACACCACCATACTATCTAAAGGAACTCAGTAAAGCCCTGATTACAGAGAAGAGTGACCTAATTTAATTCCATTCTGACTGGAAAACTTTGTAATGAATGGATAAGCATAGACTATTTTGCAAAAGTTCAGATATTTATGTAGCATCTCCCAAATGTATCATTTCAGCTTATAATGTTTAGGAGTTGTAGTG